ACGGATTTTCAGAATCCGTCCGTTTGATTTTTTTCCACAATTATTTTTTTTTTTTTTTATTTTTTGCCACAGATTTTTTGTTTATTTTAAAAAAATAACCCACCCCCAAAGGCCACGCTGCATATATGCAAATTTCGCCTCTTCACATCCCTTATTTATTGCAACCTTTTCAAGTCCTCACTTTTGTCTTTTCATTACAATTATGATGTAATAAAAACCATAACAATATATAGTAAAAAATAAAGAATAATCACCAATTTTTCATTTTTAGCAAATTATTTTATTTGATTTTTTTTTTTAAAAAAAAAAATATTTTGGGTTTATATATAAATTTCATCACTCACTACTCACCAGCTCATTTTTAATTTCGACTCACACTATCATGCCTAATTCTCTTGATCCACATTACCATTTTTCTTTATCAAGGTCCTTTCTCTTACTTTTATTTCCTTTTCTGGTCCTTTTTTTTGCATCAATTAAAAGTGCTGTGCGTTTACAGGGGGATAAACTATAAATAAACGTTTTTTTAGTGGCTCATTGGTTTAATTCTTTATTTATTTGTTGGTGCAGTGAAGATTCTTGAACCTGGCGCACCCAAATGAGCCTTTTAAAAAAAAATATATTACGAGTGATTTAATTAATTATTTTAATAGTTTATACTGACTGTTGGATCACGTAATTGAGCGAGATGATCACGTCACGATTCCGATTCAAATCGCAGGCGTTTCGGAATATCCCGGCGGGAATCGGTGAGGCCGGACAGCCGGGACGAGACCGGAAACGGTGGCCGCCAACCTCCAGCCGCCGCCGGGGAATGCCTAGCGTGCACCCGGGCCGGCGCCCCGGCCTTCCACTCCACCATCTGCGACGGGGCCCGCGATGCCCTAGCCGGCTCCTCCCTGCTCCCGATAAGGCACCGTCCGGGCCGAGAGCTCGCGGCCGGGCTGGACGATTTGGGCAGGGCCAGTAAGCGCGTGTTCGATCCGCGCAGCAAGCGCGTGCAGAGGTGGAACCGCGCGTTCCTCCTGGCGCGAGGGTTGGCGCTGGCGGCGGACCCGCTGTTCTTCTACGCGGTGTCGATCGGTCGCGGTGGGTCGCCGTGCCCGCGCGTGGACGGAGGGATGGCCGTAGCGGCGGCCGCGGTGCGGACGTGCGTGGACGCGGTGCACCTCGGCCACATCTGGCTGCAGTTACGGCTGGCCTACGTGTCCCGGGAGTCGCTGGTGATCGGGTGCGGGAAGCTCGTGTGGGATCCACGCGCCGTCGCCGCCCACTACCTGCGCTCTGCCGAGGGCTTCTGGTTTGATGTGTTCGTGATTCTCCCCGTTCCCCAGGTAAATTTCCATTTTCACCCCCTTATTTTTGCTCTGATTTGATTTTCTTTTTTTCTTTTTCGGCTTTACTTTTTCAATGTTCAGGAGAGATTGAATATAAATTATTTTTGTTTGGTCTCGTAGGATCATTTTTTGTAGTGCCACTCGATATTTTTTTTCTCAGAAAAAATCGATATGCATTTGATTTTAATTACTAATTAGTACAACACCCGTGTATTACACGGGTGCTTGCTAATTTTTTTTCTTAAAATCTAAAATTTATGAGAAAAAGTAGTTTGAAAATTTAAATACCTTTTATAAGAATATATATTATTATATATTTATTATGACACTTTTTATTTGTGCAATTTACTTGTGTTATATTATACTAATTTTTTTAACTTACAATATATAACTACATTACATATAAATATATCAATTGAAAAATAATTTTATTTTTCTAATGAATTTCAATAAATATTATTATTTTTTATTATTATAAAAATAAATATAATTTATTTATTTCATATATATACAATATGGATGTCAAATCGAAGATCATCAAAAAATGATTAATTTGATATATTACATATGTAAAACCGATAAGAAATACAAAAGTTATCAACTTTTAAAATACATTTATAATTCAATAGCTTATTGAAGGAAACAAATTAAAATTCAGGGATATATTAGTCACTTAGTGCCTCGCTATGTAAAATTACCAAGAATTAAAGGGTTATATTAGTAAAAGTGATATTAAAATACCTAAATTAGCTAAATAATATATATGGAATACCCGAACCTAGATTATTAATTATTAATATATCAATATTATTTTATCCAAACCTAATTACGAACCATGATTCTTCGCCAAATATGATTCCGAAGTACCAGAAACAGGCACGTAGGCTCAGCGCATTTTGAAATTATATATAGGGAGGATTAGTACAACACTCGTGTATTACACGGGTGCTTGTTAAAAAAATATTCTTAAATTAAAATTAATGAGAAAACTAAATTAAATTTAATTTACTTTTTTATAAAAAATATATTACTATATATTTTAGAATGATATGTGTTACTTATGACTTACATGTGTTATATTATATTAGTTGTTATAACTTATATCATATAACTACTTGAAATATAAATATATTAGTTGATAAATAATTTTATTTTTTAATTATATTAAAAATAATTTTATTATTGTTATAAAGATAAATAAAAATTATTTTTTTATACATACAATATGGATGTTAAATTGAAACTCATCAAAAGAAGCTTAATTTGATATATTACATATGTAAACTGATAAAAAATACAAAAGTCATTAACTTTTAAAATATATATACAATTCAATAGTTATAATAAGGAATGATATTAAAATACAATTAATACATGCAACATGACCATAAATAATCAACATATTTATGATAATCCGAATCTAAATATTTTTTGTTTGGAATTAAATTAAAATTTACCCAAGCCTAATAACGAAGCATGTAATTTTGCCATATAGGATTCCAAAGCATTATAAGCAGCCACGTAGACTCAGCGCGTTCTGTACTGTATTAATATATAAGGGGGATTACCAAGTTTTCAGCTAAATTCAGTATCTATTTATTCACATAATTTTAATTACTAATTATTTACATTCGTTATTTACTACTTTTGTATCACATCAATTTTAGGGAAATAGATATGTAACCGCTAGATCATAATGTAACAGTTGGATATAATTGATCTAACAGTTACAAACTCTGACTAGTTACAAACTCTGACTGAATGTTTTCGTAACGAGACCGTAATATCTTCCTCGATTTTTATCACTAACATTTTATCTCATATCATTAAGAATTCCAAAAATATTTTAATTCTTCCACCAAAATAATATTTTCTACAAAAGTTTTGCAACTGGAATTAGTTCATAAAATGACAGTTCAAAAATTAATTTGGCCTAACAAAATGTTGTTATATACACCAATTATGTATCAAAATTGCATATTCTTACAACGGCCCCAGCCCTCATTGTGTCACCCATTACATGCAATATTGTGTGTACCTTTGTTCATATTTGAAAAAAAATAGTATTAATCCAGCTAGGTTTTGTTAAGACTTTAGCCAAAAATAGCTTGTGCAGCCTTTTTCTTTTAACCATTGCAATCTCAGCATGAAATTGGACAAAAAACCATCAATCTTTTTCCCTTGTTGTTAATTTAAATCATAAATTTGAAAATGAATGAATTTCATTTTTGTACGTATATATGCGGTGTAATAATCTCGTTTTTCGCGTCCGTGCAGGCCATATTCTGGTTAGTAATTCCGAGATTGATCAAGGAGGAACGCGTAAAGCTTGCGATGACTATCATCCTTTTGATCTTCTTGTTCCAGTTCCCGCCAAAAGTCTACCACAGCATATGTCTGATGCGTAAGATGCAAAAAGTTACCGGTTACATATTCGGGACCATATGGTGGGCTTTCGGGCTAAACCTCATAGCCTACTTCATTGCATCTCATGTACGTTCGAATTAACTCGGCCCAACCAAGAATGCAATAGTTTCTAGTGGATGGGAGTGTCTGGACCTTCGAATTCGACTCTCAAATGATTCTGGGTTGGCACGACATGGTCCATTGTCATTCCTAGAGGTGTAAACGAGTTGAGCCGAGATCGAGCTCATGTTGCTTGAGCTCGAGCCCTTAACGAGCCGAGCTCACTCGGCTCATTAACTTAACAAGCTTATAATTGAGCTCGAGCTCGACTTGTTTATCATTATTAACGAGCCGAGCTCGAGCTTAACGAGGCAAAATCGAGTTTTGACGAGCCGAACTGTCGGAAGAATCCATAAAGATCATCTTTTCGAGCCTTAACGAGCCGAGCTTGTTCACTGAACGGCTTTAAATGAGCTTGAACTCGGCTTATTTTTACTCCTACGAAATGTAAAAAGAAAAAAAGAAAAGGGAAAAAAAAAAGACAATAGACTTTGGCCAAATGAGTGAACATAATAAGCTTTATATAACCATATGTTTATTATTATTATTATTATTATTATTATTATTATTATTATTATTATTATTATTATTATTATTATTATTATTATTATTATTATTATTACAAAATGTTTACTACTATATATACTGAAATGTCATACTTCGCTTATATTGTATATTAAAATATGACATTTGAGTATGAAAGTACGTATATTTGTTCGAAGAGTGTGACGGTCTAAAAAAGACTTATCGTTATCTTTTAAGTAATATGTCTAGCTAGGCTCTAATTTGTTGGTGATGTGATTTGAAATTTGTGTTTGATTTTTTGTCTTCAAAGGTTGCCGGTGGCTGCTGGTACGTGTTGGCCATACAACGTGTTGCCTCGTGCCTCAAGCAGCAGTGTATAAAGAACGGGCCTTGCAATCTCTCATTATATTGCTCGGAGGAAATTTGCGACCGGGCTTCATTACCGCCAGGCGTTTTAGAAAATCGATGTATGACGAACTCAACGGCCATGGCTGGAGTGTCGTTGTGTCTGGATGTCGATGGCCCTTTTCGTTACGGAATTTACAAATCGGCCCTCCCAGTCGTGTCGAGCAGCTCCATTGCCGTCAAGATACTTTACCCGATTTTCTGGGGTTTGATGACCCTAAGGTATATATATATAATAAGTTCGAATTATTCCGCTTATCATGGATATAGTTTATGTTCGGTTTTATAAATGACCGTATTTCGCGCTCGATTTTTCAGCACTTTCGGCAACGACTTGGAGCCGACAAGCCAGTGGCAGGAAGTGATGTTCAGCATATGCGCCGTGCTAAGCGGCTTGATGCTGTTCACTTTGTTGATTGGAAATATACAGGTGGTTTGAACCATCATAATGAGCCTAACGAACACTTTTAATCAACTTTATTATCGATTTTTTTTTCCTCAAAAAAAAAACTCTTTCAGATATTCTTGCATGCGGTTATGGCGAAGAAGAGGAAAATGCAGATGAGGTGTCGGGACATGGAGTGGTGGATGAAACGGAGGCAGCTGCCGTCACAGCTCCGGCAAAGGGTCCGCCGTTATGAGCGGCACAGGTGGACGAGTTTGGGTGTGGAAGATGAGATGGATTTGATCAAGGACCTTCCGGAAGGTCTCAGGAGGGACATCAAACGCTATCTTTGCCTTGATTTGATAAAAAAGGTTGCGGCCGAGTCGACTTTTTGCAGTCGTTGACAATTTTTAGCTCTATTTGTTTTGTTTTAAAACAAAAAAAAAAAAAAAGAACTTGCATTTTTGCTAACTTGATTTGCTGTGTGTTCAACAGGTTCCTCTGTTCCAGAGCTTGGATGACCTTGTCCTCGACAACATATGCGACCGTGCTCGGCCCTTAGTTTTCTCCAAAGACGAAAAGGTAAAAAGTTCTCCGAATCTCGAAGGGTAAACTGCGATTTCACTACGCATACTAAGATGTAAATTCAATGTCGTTACCACACGTTCACCTATCTCAATTTCAGTATCCTAACAATCGAAAATTGAAACGGTCAGGTACGAAAATTGCAGAGTGTTTAGTATTGAAACTGATATGGGTTGAGTGCTGGGTACAGACATTGAAATTACACTTTAGTCTAGGTACTGCATTCGCTATTTACTCTTATTCGATAGCTCGAACCTAATTGAAGAAAACAGGAGACATTGTTTATATGTTTTAGAAACCATTTCTGAATTCCAAAAATTAATAATAAAATTCAAGATATTATTTAAATGTTCTCGAGAGTACCAAAAATCATTTTTGGAACTCAAAAAAAAAAAAAAAAAAAAAAATGCATAGATCATAAGAGAGGGTGACCCCGTGCGGCGCATCGTTTTCATCATGCACGGGCGCGTAAAGAGCAGTCAGAAGCTGAGGCAGGGGACGGTGGCCACGAGCGTGCTCGAGCCCGGTGGCTTCTTCGGAGACGAACTATTTTCGTGGTGCCTCCGTCGCCCTTTCCCCGACCGGCTACCGCTGTCCTCCGCTACGTTCACGTGTGTTGAGCCGACTGAGGCTTTTGCCATCTGGGCCGACGACCTGAGGTACATCGTGGACCACTTCCGGTACAAGTTTGCGAATGAGCGGCTCACGCGAACGGCGAGGTACTACTCGTCCACGTGGCGGATGTGGGCCGCCGTCAACATCCAGCTGAGCTGGCGTCGACGTTGTCGGAGGACGAGGAGAGAGTCGGACGGTGACATGGACCGGCGCTTGAGGCTTTACGCGGCGTTTTTTGTGTCGATTAGGCCTCACGATCATCTAGAATAATTAGAAAGGGAGGAAAAATAGAGGAATATTGATTTTGTTGTAGAATTGTGATGAAATCAAGAAGAGTTGAGTTTCAAGTCTCTTGAGATGGTAGATAGTGAGTTTTGTTTCAAATTTTGAGACCGTTGGTATATGGCGGGAATGAAGAGATTTTTGAATGACGATTTGAAAATAAGTTTGGTGGTAGAAATTTTTATTCTGGATTTTGTTTTGGATGATGAGATTATATTATATTAAAGGGAACGTACTTGTTTGAGATTTCTCAAGACCTTTTAAGATTTTAGAAATCTTAATATATTTAACTTATATTTTTTAAGACCTTTTAGGACTTATAAATGTCTGGAGTTATTCATTTGAGATTTTTTAAAAGTCTTACAAAATTTTGAGATATTTAATTTATTTGAGATTTTAGATTTGTTATGATGTTTTACAATTTGCTGAGATTTTATAAGAAAAATATATATATGAAATTGCACTCCAAATTTCACCTCCACACACTTAAGGAGGTGTATTCCTTTTAGATTTTTGCATAACATTTTGAGACTTTCTGAAAATTTTAGATTTAGGAAGAATATTATGAAATCTAAACAGTACGCATCTTTTTTCAGGTCGATTATAGGGGAAAACAGAGGAATTTTTTTTTTCGGTACAGAAAAAAGATGCTAAGAGCCTAGTCTAGAACTTGCCGGGGTTGCGACACCCCCAAACTATCATGTTCGGTACAGAAAACAGAGGAATTTTGTTATAGAACTGTGATGCAATCAAGAATAGTTTAGCTTGAAGTCTATAGGTAAGATAAGGGAAATAATACAACAATTTTGTGAAAAAATACAAGAAAACAGACAAAAAAGGGAAAAAAAAATGGGGGAAAAAGAACATAGTGAAGGACATACATAAACACACACTTTTACTCTTTCCATATTCCACCAATGAAAATTTTAAATGCATATGTGATATCTCAATTATGATCTGTAACTACAAATGCAAACTTCTCTCAATTTTATTCAGTCTTAAATATAAAATTTAAAAAAACAAAAAAAATGAAGAAGAAGACAACTACAAATGCACAGGGGAATCCAAGCAACAAAAATCACTGATGAGTAGCTTTACACACACCTGTACAAAGCTGGCCAAAAAAACATTTACTCTTGAATAATTTCTCTCAATAATACAAAAAAATCACTCAAATTCGACAACAACATTGTCATTTGATGGAGCGTACGAGGGAGCGAAAAACAGCTCAAGGCAGAATGAAGGCCCACATATCGATCGACCCCTTTTCCCCACTTTGTCTAAATCCCCAACCGAGAACTGCAAGTTTCCGTATAAACACATGTAGTTAATAAAAATAAGTAACAGAAAATCAAAAGACAACAGAAAGTAAAAGAAAAGTTACCTGCAGTAACTTCAATTGTATTAATTTGACTTCAATTGTATTAATTTGACTTCAATTGTACGAATTTGACTTCAATTGTACGAATTTGACTTCAATTGTACTGATTTGACTTCAATTGT